TAATGATAATGATGAGGATAATGATTATAACGATAACAATATTGGTAATAATAATAGCAATGATAGCAATAATGACGAGGATAATGATTATAGCGACAGCAATATTGATAATAGTGATATCAATGATAATGATAATGGTAAAGATAATAATAATAATTATTATTATAATAAAATAATAATGATGATAATGATTATAATATCAATGATAATAATGATAATAATGATAATGATAAGAAGAAGAATAACCAATAAAAACTAATAACAACAATGATAATCATCATAAAAGTAATAATGATAATAATGATGGTAATGATAATGATGTAATGATAACACTAATGATAATGATAATACACATAAAATCATACAAATAATGAAATATCAATTTAATCAAAAAAAGTTACATAGTACTAATCACACACACACACACACACACACACACACACACACTCACACACACACACACACACACACACACACACTCACACACACACACACACACATACGTCAGTAACAAAGAGACCCCTTTGAAGTGACAGCTAGCATCGAAACTATGAAAGGGAAAAAGCGCGGATGCTTACACCCGGCTATCACACTGGCACTCTCATGATGTCTGCGCCCCTATGTCAACAACCCGAAAAGAGTGTGAGAGATTGACATATGTTAAAAGACTTGTAAAGAAAACATTTGCCTCGAATGACGTGACTAATGGCAACTTAAATATCGCTGTACTTTTTTTATATTTGCGGATGAAACCATAACCTAAGGGTATATGAATGGGTGGAAAAAGTGACAGGATTTGACACTTGCTAATGGTGTGAAATGCGTACCTGGGAGGGGGTGGGTTGGGTGGGGGGAGGTGGGGGAACGCGGAGGGTGGGGGAGAAAAAAAAGGAGATGAAGGAGGCGGAAAGAAAGGGAAAGGTATATACGAATAGACAGACAGCGACAGACAAACTGATTGACAGAGGGATAGAGATGGAGATAGACTGATTATATATATATATATATATATATAATATATATATATATATATATATATATATATTATATATATATATATATATATATATATAGAGAGAGAGAGAGAGAGAGAGAGAGAGAGAGAGAGAGAGAGAGAGAGAGAAAAGAGAGAGAGAGAGAGAGAAAGAAGAGAAAGAGAGAGAGAGAGAGAGAGAGTGAGAAAGAAAGTGAGAGAGAAGAGATATAAAAAGAGAAAATAAAGACTGACAGAGACAGAGAGCAAGGCACTAACTAGAAAGAGAAAGACAGAGAAACGGAGAGCGAGAGACTAATTCGGAAAGGCAAACAGGGAGAGGAAGACATAGAAAGAGAAAGACGGAGAAACGGAGAGCGAGAGACTAATTCGGAAAGACAAAAAGGGAGAGGAAGACACAGAAAGAGAAAGACAGAGAAACGGAGAGCAAGAGGCTAATTCGGAAAGGCAAAAAGGGAGAAGACATAGAAAGAGAAAGACAGAGAAACGGAGAGCGAGAGACTAATTCGGAAAGGCAAAAACGGAGAGGAAGACACAGAAAGGGAAAGACAGAGAAACGGAGAGCGAGAGACTAATTCGGAAAGGGAAAAAGAGAGAGGGAGTCAGAGTGAGAGATAAAAAGCGAGAGCGGGGGAGCATCAGCAAACGCTCAAAACATATGACGCATTCAACAGGTGGTAAGAAGGCGGAGGGGGGGGAGGGGAGGGGGGCGTAGGGGACGGAAAAGATAAGTGAGGGCAGCCGTGTTACTTGGCGACCTCTCTGTTACCTGGAGACCTGTATACTACCTAGTGACCTGTAACTGGCAGGGAGGTGGTTTCGTGGAGTGATTGAACGCTGGCTTAATTAGATGTTTGAAATAGTTCTGTAGTTAGAGTGATAGCTAATAAAGAAATTGTGTATTTACATCACATCTTCATATAGCAGGTTACATGATTTGAATTTCGAAGACATACCTACGCTGTCCATTAATAACGCGGATATGTATGCATAAAGGTATTGAATATTTCAAATTGTTTTGGCCATAGGGAATAAGGTATCAGATTCATCACCATGTCGATAATCAGTTATGTAACAAAAAAGAAAATAAAAAAATTGCAACAAACCAAATAAATTTCATGTATAACACCGACCAGCTTCTCCTTTGCTCTGACACTCTGTAGTTCTTAAAAGGCCTCATATGACCGATTTTGCATGTCAAGGCCACACTCTACCTGGACATATTCCAGGTGATCTTATGTAAAACGTCAAATGCAAAGTCACGTCAGCGATAGGGAGCAACGGTGTTTATATAGTTAGAAACAAAGAAAATATACAGTTTAGCAGACCCAGCTTCTTTAGTCATTAAAAGCAGTGTAATGGGGGTATATTTCACGAGCACCTGTTGGTAAGAAGCTAGTCTAAAAGTACCCAGGACTGAAGTGGCGTTGGCCGCACCTTTATTTGGGCCTCCTGTAGGAAATGGAGTGGGTTAGACAAGGTCAAGGGTTTGTGCGCGGGACACAC